TGCCTGATATTCTAGTTTGCACTGTATAAAGGGAGAGACAAAAATCAAACACATATAGTTCTTTTAATAATTTTATGCAAATATTTTTTTAAATTTCCATGCATATGTCTATTTAGTATAGTTAGGTACAATCTTACATATCCACATGATACTGATCCATGAAGAAGGCAAGTCATGGAGTTGTGTTCAGTGTCATTTTGGCTAACAGAAACCTAACAGGGTACAAATGTTGTTCATAGCCTGACAGCTTCATCCTGATCTGAGTAATGAAATTTGGGATCAAATGGACAAAGGGATAGCATGGAGCTTGACAGTGTTTCTTAGCCCACTGTACTTATATTCTTGCCTTTTAATTAGTTAAGTATGCATGTATTTAACTTCTCTCGCTGGAATTTAAATTTTAAGTTCAGAGACTGTGCTCATTTAGCTTTTGGCAAACAACTTGCACATCATCGAATGGCCTAACATAAAATACTAGGCTAATAAACAAAGTACAAATTTATGAAATGCTGTACTTATGAAACAAAATACAAATTGAATTACTATGGTTTCCCCCAAAGGCATGACATTATCAACACACATGCAGAGAGAGATTAAACATATACATTTATATGTACAATAAAGTATATATTTATAAGTTAATTTATGGAGATGTAACTGTATTTAACATAGTATAACCATATATAAACTCCAAAACACAACCGCTGTCCAATCTAGGGCTTCTTAAACTTTTTCCTCTTATAAACCCTTTTCTTCTGATTAATTTGCAACATAGGCAAGCACTGCCAGGAAAAGCTCAGAAACATTATATGTTTGAGTTTGAATTAATTTTTTATCTTTGTGTGTTCAGAACCAATTTGCTGTTGCCAAAGTTTTAGTGAACCACATATTCAGTTTAAAAAGTTTTAATCTAATGAAACCTGACTCATAGGTGCCTTATAGAAAATTTCCAAGACTATAAATTTTGATGAGAGTAAAAAGACTCAACTTCCTACATGCTATGCATTTTGTAAATGTATACATTTCATTCTTCTTATTTTGGTATATGATGAATTTTAGTACCTATTGTGCATAATAGTTTAAATTGATATTCCCAAAGGTCATATAGATGAATAAATACAAAGTTATGGAATGTCATTATTATGTAAGGCTATTGTAACAAGCCCCAGAAACTATTTTGCATGCTTTAGAGGAAAGTGTATACAAGCTTTTAGCCAGTGGTTTTATTACCATAGTATTCAAAACTTTAAAGAAACTAGCATTTAGAATTTTATTACAAATGCTAAAGGGGAACATAGTTGTAGACACATTTCAGCAGGACCAGTTCCTTAGGATAACCTTGAGAAGAATCAGAATTCCAGAGTACTAATTGTGCTCACGTAAAACCTATACATGGATCAAGAGACAGTTGTGCAAACAGAACAAGGGAATACTGGATGGTTTAAAATCAGGACAGGTGAGCATCAGGGTAGTTTCTTCTCACCATACTTATTCAATCTGCATGATTACTGAATAATTAGAGAAGCTGGTTTATATGAAGAATGCAGCCTCAGGATTAGAGGAAAGCTTATTAACAACTTGTGATATGCTTCCTGAAAGTGAAGAGGACATGAAACCCTTGCTGAAGAAGATCAAGGAATGCAGCCTTTAGGATGGATTACAATTCAATGTAAAGAAGACGTAAATCCTCCCAACTGAAACAATAGGTAATATAATGATAAATGGAGAAGCGGTTGAAGTTGTCAAGGATTTTTTCTTGCTTGAGTCCACAATCAATGCTCGTGGAGGCAGCAGTCAATAGATAAAGGGAAACATAGCATTGGTTATATCTGCTGCACAAAACATCTTCAGGGTATGGAAAAGCTAGGTTGTCACTTTGAGCGCTAAAGTGCACAAGATCCAAGCCCTGATATTTTCAATTGCCTTGTGCGCATGTGAAAGTCGGATGGACATTGAATCAGGAAGACTGGAGAATAGTGGATGCATTTGAATTGTGATGATGATGATTGCATAGCAGCAAGGATGGCAGGACTTCATTCTTGGGGAATCAGGGGGACAGTGAAAAAGAGGAAGGCAAGTTGATTTGACACTGCCTGCAATGATGGGATCAAACAGAAGAATACTGTGAAGACGGTGCAGAACCAGGCAGTGATTTGCTCTGTTATACATAGGGTTACTATGCGTTAGAAGCAGCTGGATAACACCTAACCACAACGGTTCCTGGATGTGGAATGTGGGGCTAATCTCGTACATGTTCTCAATCTCAATTTTCTCAAACACATTATAGTAAAATATCTCTCAAAACTCAGAGCCATGGAGTCAATTCCAACTCACAGCAATCCAATAGGATAGGGTAGAACTAGCCCAGTGGGTTTCCCAGTCTGGAAATCTCTAGGAAAGTAGAAAGCTCCATTTTTCTCTTATAGAGCAACTGGTGATTTGAATTGCTGACCTTGTGGTTAGCAGCCCAATGCGTAACCCCCTTTAGAAATAAAAAATATATATATATATCCTTATAGTAACTGTCACAAACCAGATTCTTAGTAAATGTTAATGAAAAATCAATTCAACTGCAGTCAAACAACCACAAATATTAAGGGGCAGAATTTATTGTCTTTAGAGGTCCAGTCTGAATATTTATAACTCATAATGAAAAGAATACCATGTAACTGGGCATTTGACATTATAATATAGTAAATGTTATCTATCTTATAAAAGACAATGACCATCTCCTCAATTTAAAAGAAATATACCTTGCTAATTCTGAAGTGAAACAATTTCTTTACTAGATAATTTTGTAATGTCTTCAGTATACATTATTTTAAAGTTAAATAGAGTAGAGTTTCTGTCTCCAGTAGCCTAATATTCCAGTGACTAATCATATTATTCTTAACAGTACAACACTAATTTTTTTCCTGAAAAATAACTCTTTGCTGGCCAAGCAAAATTCTTAACCAGCTATAGGCGAGGGCTTTCTTTCTCTGATGGATCACAGAGAGAGTCTTATACACGACTCCCTACTGATTTGATGTAGCATGAAGTCTACTTTCTCCTATATTTGCTTGTACTAAGCTCTACTTTTTATATCTCACACATACTTTTTATATCTCAAACGTGAATGGCTTAAAACTCAGGAGGATAGGGCCTAATTAACATAACAAAGAAAACCCATTTCCCAATGACAATTTAACCACTGTTATAGGGATTAAGATTTACAACATATATGTGGGGGTGGGGGGCCATAATTCAACACCTAGTACATGACTACTAAATGCAATATATAATCCATAATTGGAAACTTGAATGGGAGGGAAAATAGCTATCAAAGTCATTATTGAAATAATAGTGAAAATGTAAATGAAACCTCTAATATCTGAATTTAGACTATTGTTAATGTCAAATTATATGTTTTATATTAACTTTAAATGACCATATTTTAATCATTTTTAGTATTATGTTTGAGAAAGCAATTGCTTTTAATAAATGCATACAAAAATTAAAAATTAATAAAAATCAATACATTCATGAAAAGCTTTAAATTTATTTGATTTAGTATAGTGGACCATTTTTTTGAGAAATACAATTATTGAAAGCGGTCATTATTTGTCTTTATTCAATGTTTAAATAATTACAACAACAATTTTTGTCTTGTAAAATTACATTAAATTTTAAATGGGATTCAACTGTCTAATATCTAACCAAAAGAAGGTATACAGATAGCTAAGTAATTATGAAAACTCTAAAGATGGTTGTCTAGAAATTCTGAAGCATTGGCCCAATTTCTAAGTGGAATATAAGCAAAGAATTTTGGAAATATCTTAGCTCTCCCCAAAGTTTATGCCATACACATTCACACCTTAAATCACTAATTAAATGTGATGTATTTTACTAGTATTTTTTTAAGCATAAAAGTTCCTATAAAACTTAAATACAGACTGAAAATATAACATTTCCAAAATGTGAATTATCCTTCAATTCCATTTTCTATAAACTTTTTCAAGTCTTCTCACATGTGAACTATTAGTTTATTAAGAAAGATAATCACATATTTTCTGCCTCGCAGTTGATGATTCATTGTATCTATTCTCTTGACTCATGAAAGAAATATATAAAACAAGTATAGGACAGGTGCAAATTTAGTTTAGTTTTTCTTTTTTTGTTTAGTTCTAGCTAGCTTTCTTGGCATAATAATCATAAAACATTTTTAATAGGTCTTTTAGATTTAAATGAGCTAATAATATTATAGTTATCAAAATAATTATTTTATAAAAGAAGTATTTTCTCTTATCTTAAGGTGACTATGAAAACACCTTATTTATTTTTTTCCCCTGTAAACTTTTTAATAAAAATCCACATTTATAATGTCTAGCAGGTTTACCCATGTGCCTAATCATATTAATGTAGCTTCCTGCAATCAGAAAATCATTAGCTTTATTTTCATATGATTCATTTGTGGAAGAAAAATAATCTTCATGAATCTTTGTAAACAATTACATTCAAAGATATTAAAGTATGTTAGAAATGTTATGATCAAGTATTTTTTATTTAGCTTCACTAACTGATTGCATTTCTAATTAATAATGATCAATTTACTTAATTACCAAAAAGCTGAAATATTTATAAAGGCATAAGTGAACTGAAATATCACATAAAGGGCATGCTCATTAGCCTTTAATGATAAAAAATGCAAGTACTATAAAAAGACATGATTTATATACTCCTGATTAGCTAAGACCATGTATATTAAGAATGTTTAGGGGATGAGTAATGTGAAAAAGCAAAATTGCCCTTGTAATAATCAAAATTGACACTGACCACAGAGTATATGCTTACAGCCATTTGTCTAGAAATAAGATCAAAGAAGAAAATGTCATAGGAGAGAAAGAATCCTAACTAGCAAAATGAGGGAACCATTCAGGAAACAAGCTATTGCAAACAGTTTTCCAGTTTTTAGCTGTGGCTGATTGCTTAGACAAGTTGTCAGCTGGAGACCATTGTGTTTCTTCATATTACAATTGACAATATTTAAGAAGCGTTTGGGTTGTTACACCTTGGCAGGGAAGGGACATGAGCAAGACATGCTGCTAAACAGTTCATAATGTATAGAAAATTCCAGCACCCATATAAAAAAATTATCTCATACAAAATATTAGCAGAGAAAAGATTGAGAAATATAATTTATACTTAGTTCTAATGAAATCGAAGGAAAAAATGAATTAAAACAATCCCACCCTTATTTCCTTATAATTATTCTCTGAGCATGCAAATAATATAATGACAATAGTATAATGAACTACCAGCTATAAGTCTTTAATTATCCAAATTCAAACTCCAAACCCGTTGCTATTGAGTTAATTCTGACTTACAGTATGGAGGACTGAACAGAAGTAGATTTCTAAGACTGTAAGTTTATGAGAGTAGAAAGCCTCATTTTTTTCCTGTGGAGCAGCTAGTAGTTTCAAATTGTTGTCTCTATGATTAGCATTGCACCATATAACCCATGACATGATCAAAGCTCCTTAACTTCCCAGGGAATGCAGAAAATGCAAATCATACAACACAAGAAAGCACATAGTTGATAATCAATCAAACAACCAAACATGGATGGAAAATCAGGCTAACTGCTTGCGGGCATACATATGGCAGCCAACTGAAAAGGATGGGAAAAGGGGAAAAATGGACATGGGTGGTGGTGGTTGGGGTACTAACCCATTCAAGAGGAGGGTATTGTTTATATCTCCGCAGGAGAGGGAGAGACGGATCAGACTTCAACCTGATGCTCCAAAACGTGAATGCAACATACCCAAATGAAGCAGCGAACTAATAGAGTGGTCTACAAGGCCAGTCCCAATCCTAGCTACATGGATCTCCTCCCCAGAAGAATGCATTATAGAGGGCAGCACTGAAGTTACAGGTCTGGGAGAGGGGCGCGTCTGCTCAGAGCACACAGGAGCAAACTAAGAGGGCAGGGGAGAGAAAGAGAGTGGAATACATCCTGGCCCACCAAGCCCCAAGGATGATATTCCTACTCAGAGCAGCCAATACACAGAGAGGACCATAGGGCTGGCCCCACCATGAGACCTGACGTCCCTCACTGACCAATACTGCTTTTGGGACAACACTGGAGACACAGTGTGGGAGCTGACCCCACCACACCAGGGCAAAACACAAAGGGCATACAACAGAGCAGCAAAGGAAGCAAAGCAATGAAGTCTCTGAGGAATCCCTAAAACTGACTTGGAGGCATGGCCTGCCACCTCTTCAGACTCAACCAAGCAAACACTCATAAAGTCAACAGACAGACCTGAAACTATTTATAGGCTTTTTTTTGGTGGTTGTTGTTTGTTTATTTGTTTTTGTTTTGTTTGTCTGTTTGTTATTGTTTTTGCATTCCTAATCTAAATAAGATAGGTGGGATAAACATTCCTGAGGAGAAAACAATGGGATTGATGGATCTTGG